ACTGGACCAACCCTTTCGATAATCTCGAAGGGTCCTACATAACGGGGACTCGGTTTTCCTCGTTTACAAAAATACACGACTCCCTTCCATGGGGATACTTTTAAGAGTACTCTGTCTCCCTTTTGAAATTCCAAGGGTTTCCTACGCTTGTCAGCATAGCTCTTCTGGCGATCACGAGCTGCTTTCAGTCTATCACGTATTATCGAGATCTTCTCAGTGGTTTCTTGAATTAAATCCAGTCTCGTTAACTTCCTATCGCCAATTTCCAGCCAACATAGCGGGGAGCGACATTTACGCCCATACAAGGCCTCATAGGGGGCACACTGAATGCTGGTATGGTAGCTATTATTATAGGAAAACTCGACTAATGGCAAATGGTTATCCCAACTTCCTCCAAAGTCGATCACGCAAGCCCGGAGCATGTCTTCTAACGTCTGGATGGTTCGTTCGCTCTGACCATTTGTTTGGGGATGATAGGCAGTACTTAAGTCTAAACGGGTCCCCAAGGCTTTTTGAAGTGACTGCCAAAATCTAGATGTAAAACGGCTATCTCTATCTGAAATGATGGAAATAGGTACCCCGTGGCGTGCTACAATCTCGTTTATGTAAATTCGAGCAAGCCTTTCCATTCGATAATCTTCTCGAATGGGGAGAAAGTGTGCGGATTTCGTCAATCTGTCCACCACCACCCAAATAGAATCGTGTCCCTTTGTGGTCCTTGGCAACTTGGTAACAAAATCCATGGATATTTGCTCCCATTTCCATTGAGGTATTTCTGGTTGTTGAAGCAAACCGGAGGGCTTTTGATATTCGGCCTTCACTTTGGAACAAGTTAAACATTTCTCAATATACAAGGCAATATCTTTCTTCATTCCAGGCCACCAATAGTATTTCTTTAGATCCAAGTACATTTTGTCGGCTCCAGGGTGGATCGAGTATCGGGAATTATGGGCTTCCTTTAAAATTACCTTACGTAATTCGTCGATCTTTGGTACCCATACCCTATTTTTGAAGTACTTCACTCCATCTGAATGTGTTTCAAATTGTTGTTCCAGGCCGTGTAATGTTTCACGTTTCAAGTTCTCAGTTTTTAACGCTTCGCCTTGAGCAGCAAGGATTTCGCTCTTCAAACTGGTTTGAACAAGGGCTCCGAAGGCATGTGCTCGTGAGGGTTTCACCCTTTCCTTCCTACTCAACGCATCGGCTACAACGTTGGCCTTTCCTGGATGGTATTTAATTTCGCAATCATAGTCGTTGAGTAATTCTACCCACCGCCTCTGTCTCATGTTAAGCATCTTTTGATCCAAGATGTGTTGTAGGCTTTTGTGATCAGTATAAATAGTGCACTTAGTTCCGTACAAGTAATGTCTCCAGATCTTAAGGGCGAATACCACCGCTCCTAATTCTAGGTCGTGGGTTGTGTAGTTTTTCTCATGAACCTTCAACCGCCTTGACGCATATGCAATAACCTTGCCTTTCTGCATCACTACGCAACCCAGACCTTGGTGTGACGCATCACAATACACTGTGAAGTTCTCCACACCATCTGGCAATCCCAAGACTGGCGCATTACACAACTTAAGTTTCAGCAATTGGAAGGCATCTTCTTGTGGTTCTCCCTATTCAAATTTCCTATCCTTTTGGGTCAAAATAGTCAGTGGTTGGGCAATTTTGGAGAAGTTCTCAATAAAGCGCCTATAATAGTCCGCCAATCCCAGAAATTGCCGAATTTCCGTCGGGGATCTTGGGGTTTCCCATTTCTTAATTGCTTCAACTTTGGTGGGATCCACGTGTATTCCTTTTTCTACAACCACATGACCAAGGAATCGTACTTCCCTAATCCTAAATTCACACTTAGAGAACTTTGCAAATAATTTTTGGTCTTTCAACAGTTCCAAAACTAACCTAAGATGTCGTTCATGCTCTTCTTTGTTTGGGGAAAAGACTAGTATGTCGTCAATGAACACGATCACAAACTTGTCAAGGTACGGCCTATAAATCCTATTCATAAGATCCATGAAGGTAGCTGGCGCGTTAGTTAGCCCAAAAGGCATAACTAGGAATTCATAGTGTCCGTAATGAGTCCTGAAGGCGGTTTTAGGAACATCTTCATCGCGTACCCTTAATTGGTGGTATCCCGATCGTAGATCAATCTTTGAAAAGTACGTGGCACCCTGGAGTTGATCGAACAAATCGTCTATTCGAGGAAGGGGGTATCTATTTTTTTATAGTCAATTTATTTAGTTCTCTATAATCGATGCACATTCGCATCGATCCATCCTTCTTTTTCACAAATAAGACCGGTGCACCCCATGGTGAGGAACTTGGACGAATGAATCCTTTTTCCAAAAGTTCCTGAAGTTGGCCCGAAAGTTCTTGCATTTCAAAAGGTGCCAAGCGGTAAGGTGCTTTAGCTACAGGTGCCGATCCAGGAATTAGATCAATTCTGAATTCGACTTGTCTTGCTGGGGGGGAGTCCAGGCAACTCTTCTGGGAATACTTCGGGCTATTCTCGCACTATTGGAATATCCTGAATATGTTTTTCTTCTGATTTCTTTTCCACTACATGAGCCAAGAACGCAAGGTATTTCTTCCTCAGATATTTGTGAATTTTCATGCATGAGACTATCTTCAAGTTCTTGCCTGGTTTCTCTCCGTACACTATAAAGGGTTTCGTTGTTTTGGAGGGGTATTTTGACAACTTTCTCAAAGCATCCTCTCTGCTCGATTCTTGGACAACCAGTCCATTCCAATCACTACGTCAAAGCTTCCAAGTTCAATAGGTATAAGGTCAATACTAAAAATTTTATCAGCTAAGTTCAAGGTACAATTAGGAACTATCTCCCTAGCCTTAATTTCATGACCGTTAGCAACTCAACTACGTAGGCATGTTCCAATATTTTTGATTTCAAGTCGATTAGGGGTCTAAATTCATGTGACACAAAACTTCTATCTGCCCCCGAGTCAAATAATACTGATGCATAGTGGTTGTTTAGGAGGAATGTACCTGTTACCACCTCCGGGTTCTGGCGAGCCTCTTCCGCCTTAATCACAAATGCTCGCCCACGAGCCTGGCCTCCTGGATTTCCACGGTTTATATGTCCCGCCTGGTTCCTGGAATTGTTGTTATTGGGGCCCTTATTCAGATTCGGGCAGGCATTCCTAAAGTGGTCCACACTTCCACACTCATAGCATGCTCGTTTACCATCCTTGCGATCTTTATCTATCCTGCAATACTTTGCGAAATGTCCAGTTCGATTGCACTTGTGGCAGATAGGGCAGGCACCCTCATGATGATAACTGCATTTCTCACACTTAGGTTTAGGCCCTCGGTATTACACAGGTTCCTTGTTTTAACCGCAAAGTTTGTTGCCCTTTTCTTGTTCTTTTCTGAGTTGTCATTCTTCTTCCTTCCCAGCTGGTTCTCCGATTTTCTTTTGTTACTTGCGTTGCTTATGGTCAATATCCCGGCCCTCACTTTATCATTCGTAAGGCGGTGCGCCAGGTCTATAGCGCTATGGATTGAGGTAGGATTTGCTGAAGTAACCATGCCTCGGATTTCTGGTGCTAAACCCCATATGTATCGGTCAATCCTCTTGCTCTCAGGGGTGACCATGTGCGGCACTAGTTCAACGAGTTCATGGAAACGCACAGTGTAGCCTTCCACATCGGCTCCTACCAAGGCATGGTTCCAGAAGTCAGATTCCATTTTCTGGATCTCATCCTTACGACAGTATTCCTTCTTGATTAACTCTTTGAATTCCTCCCAAGCTAATTGCTTCGTTGCCTCCCTTCCACGGTTCCGGACTTGCGCATTCCACCACGTTAAGGCTCTGTCTTGGAGAAGGCATGCAACATAGGGAACCTTGCAGTCATTTGAGCACTTGCTGATGTGGAGTACAGCCTCAATTCCTTTTATCCATTTCAACAATCCCACTGCACCCTCTGTTCCATGAAACTCCTTGGGTTTGCAAGACATGAAGTACTTATAGGTGCATCCCCTTGTTTCCTCATTACGAACTCCGCTTCCTTCGGTGTTCTTAGTAGGTGTAGGGCCTCCATGGTTTGTCTGACTAGCATTGATTCCCGCACTGACTTGAGCCACAATGTTAGGGATAGCAGCCATTAGTTGTTGCGAGACCAGTTGAGCAATATCGGGAGTGGCATTCTCAGGCTGTGTTGGGCGTGAGCGGGTGTTTCTTCTTTGGGGCATGGTTCTATAACACACAAACAAAATTAAGGACGTTATTATCATTATTAATTAGTTTTTTTTCAAAGAAATAATAGTATTAATAATAATAAAATATATTTTCAAGAACGATTTCAAATCATCAAAACAATTAACAGTTCATGAAAAAATATAAGTGTGAAATAACATGGTGATTGAAAATCATTAAAATAGATTTCATTCGTAGTTCGTACATAAAAGGTTTAACAAAGCATATTGCTTGATACTGCAAGCTACAAAAGACACTTCAACCATAGTTCTCAAAAGCCATAAACCAAAGGCATTACATCAAAATACATAGACCAAAAACGACAAAACATAAACCATGACGTTTAGATTCAACCCCAAAACACAATCACCCAGACAAGTGCCACTGCCAGAATCAATGCTAGCCCTCCAGCGATAGCGCTAGTGATCATAGCTCTGATTGCTGTCCTCTGGGCGGAGTATGCATAACCACACACCGCATCCACCACGTCTGACATGTCGGCTATGCTGTGATGATGATAAGCAATCCTACTACGGGCATCATGCAGGTCTCGGGCCATGGCCTCCATGTTGCGTCGCTTCTGACAAGTCATCCCGGGTGCTCGCATATAAGGCGTCCCTATGACTGGGGGTCGAGGCTGACTAGGCTCGAGACGCTCACTCCTTGGTGCGGGAGGTGCTGGCACGGGTTCTGGACGCTCGAACCTCAACACTTCTCTCGGCATTGGTGCGCTCTTTCTCGCTGTCCTCCTGTGGTATAGTCCATAAAGGGGTGGCTGAGGCGTCAGCTGTCGCGAAGGCTCGGTATCGGCGGGGCTGAAGTTTCCTCAGTCGGTGCCTGGCTGCTCACTTCCTCTCCAGTCTCTGATCCTGTAGACGGATCTTCAGTCGGTTCGGTGCTCGAGTCGCGGTTGACTTTCGGGCGTGTAGTGACGTAACCAGACTCATCTGCCGATCCAAGTGCTTGAGAGCTAGTGTTTGACATGGCTATGCTGTACACGAGAAACTCTAATGTTTAGATGAATTTTTAGCCTTCTAGAAAATTTCTATTATGTTTGATGTTTATGTTTATCCTAGGGTGTTGATACCATTCACTATAATCAATTCCGGTCTTGCACTAACTCTTCCTTAATTATACATAGGTGATCAGGCTATGTATAATTAAGGTCCAGTAGCGCATTACCGGAATTACTTATACTAAATGGCATGTTTTATTAACTCAATGGTTATAGTTTAGGCGTCCCTAAGGGAAAGGGGAAGCCGGTATTCTCTATAACCTTAGGCTCTGATACCAAATCTGTCACACCCCATTAAAGCGGAAACACGAAGAGTGACAGGCTAAGGTCTCATCACAAAGGTAAATAGAAGTACCAACCATAAACATTAAGCGTTTTAAGTTTACATCGCGTACAAAACAAATACATTCAGTTTTCACAATACATAATTTAATACATAGCAAACGTAACAACTTAAATCATGCTAACGTCTTGTTGATTCACTGACCGTTCCCTGAAAAGCATGCAAAAACGAGGGTCAACTATAAAATAGTTGGTGAGTTCACAGGTTTATAATAATACATTATTTCAAAAATGTAGTTTATTCTATAAATGTTCCAATTTAGAAAACGATGAATGCCATTGCATTCCGTTCACAACCAAGCCTAACGACCGTTCCTGCCCCATTCCATCATGTCCATGGTTCCCATGATGTCAGTTCATGGAAATATGCACTCGCGGTTCCGGGCGAGTGGGGGCTGTCGACCCCAAATAGCGCTATCCATAAGACCATCGGCTCAAATATGAGTTAATAGGTTGTATCGGGTCTCCGGGGACTTAACATACAATTTCATAACACCATATTCATAGTACAAGTTCATAATAAAAGGTTCATACAACAAAGTTCACATCACTAAGTTCATAACACAAGCTCGTAAAATAATGTTCATAGAAATTATAGCATGCTTTTCACCCCAAAACATTAAAACGTAAAATAGGGGCTGTGAAAACTCACAATAGAAAGTTTGTGGCTCGGGCTTCGCAGTTTGATGTTGACGAGGGCAATTCCTACTAGCGTCCTATGGAACAAATAGTTTTAGTGAGATATAATTCACTAAGCTATATCCAACTAGTGATGTCTAAAGTGCCCAAAGTGTGTACGATTCATTATCAGTAACATTACTTCATATTACATTGTGTTCAAAATTTTACAAAGGCATGGAAATAAATTCCGAAATTACAAAAACCTAGTTTATATGGTTCTAACAAAGGGCATTAGTGTCCAGAAATTTTGTAAACATTTTGAAGGTTATTTGATATTATATAATATATATATATATAGATATATATATATAGTTATATATAATATAATTAGCCAAATAATGGATAAATTCAAAATAAATGGTAAACATGTTTCTAAAATTCTCAATTTAATTTTACAGGCTCCTAAAATGTTCCTAAGGTTGAGAAAATATTGGTTTAGGGTCTTTGAGTTCAATGACCCAAATTTGTAAGTTTTCATGCTCAATTTAATGAAAAATATGGATAAAATATCAAACAGTGTCGAATCATCTGAAATTTACATGGCTTTCTTATTCAATGAAAATTTACTCTACAAATTTTCAGATTTTTTATCTCTTATGAAAACGATTATTTAAGAGGGATATGGTATTTTTTATTGATATTAGATCCATTAATAAAAGCCTCCCTTGAATTCTTATAAATCTAGATTTTATATTTTATAAAAACTCAAACATTACATCATAACATCTCCTAAGGTATTTAATTATTCGGTTTTGTTGAAATTTTACACTAGGTATAACTTGTAAATTATATTGGTGAATTAATTAGAAAATGATACCTATTATTTAATTTTTTAAAAAATCAATTTCTCATATTCCAACAATTATAACAAGGATTCATAATATGTGGTTGTAAGATTTTGATATCCTTGGATTTTTCTTTTGTTTCACATTTCGAATCATGAATTATATGAATTTCTCATCAACTTTATATTTGGTTCATATTATGGTTTAATTTTGTTCATATTAGCTTAAAATACTTAACCTTATTAAGCATTAGATTTTTTTTTTTCCAATATGGAAATTTTAGGGTTGCTAACTTACCTTGGGTTATGGTCTACCGAACATAGTGTTGTGTTTGGACTTAAGGTTCAAATTTGGCACTTTATCACTCAGTTGTTCATACAAATATCAATGTGATTGTTCAATACAAGCTAAGATACACTAATTGTTCCGAGGGATCTATAAGTCATGAAACAGTTCAACTTGTAACTCTAGAGCCAAGTTAAGTGCACACAAGAAAATGACGAAGTTCTAGATGAGTACTGACCTGAGTTTTGGTGGATGTCACAATAAACCAAATTATATTTTTAACACAAGATTACTTGTGCTTTTACTTGTATTCCCCCCCCCCCCTGAAAACATTAAACACTCGAAAATGTAAGGGTATGAACTCACTGATTGTTGCGTGCAAATGATTGAACTGCAAGATCCTCAAGTCGACGCGCGTGGCACTTAATGGAATCCTAATATCAAATAAATATATATATGTGTCTAAATTAGCGATTTCGTTAGATAAAGTGTTAGATAAACACTTGTTTTTGGTTAAGGAATGTTACCGGGACTCGGTTGAATTGAGAAAACAGGCTTTTCCCCACGAAAGAGCTGTTTACGGTCGTGAATGGAGTTTACGGTCGATAGACCGTGAACAGGGTTTACGGTCTATGAAGATCTGGTGGGTTTACGGTTGCAACGGGTTTACAGTCTATGAAGATTGACCGTAAACTCAAGAACAAGGGTGCTTGTTTTCGACGAAAAAGTGTTCCAGAGGCTTCCAAACCGCCCCAAATGGCGATTTCCGGCGTTTTTCGAGTGAAAAGAGGGTATTTTGGTGTTTAAATCAGGGAGTTAGAGAGAGAAAGTGGGTGTTTCCGTCAAGAAGGTTCAAATGAGGGTGGGGTCCAGTATTTATAGGCGGGGGGTTTGGTCGGTGGTGGGGTCCACCTGGCACCGACTGTAAACTGGGTTTACGGTCTACACGAGTTTACGACCGTAAACTCGTCCTGACCGTGAACTTGGTATTTTCAGGTGAAGTTTCGAGTTTTGTCTCGTGATTTCTGGTTTAATTCTTCCGACTCGTATAAATATATATTATTTATTTAAAAAACATAAGTCTTTCCCAAACTAAGAAATTTGACGGAATTTAATACAAACCCCAAATTTTATTAACGGAAACTGGGTAAGGATAACGGAAAAAGTTTCGGGTTGTCACATATTCTCCCCGACTCAGAAGCTCGAAAACTTGAAAGGTTTAAACTCACTCAAGTCCTATTGGATAGTAAACACAAGGATTGAAAGCCAGTGTGTGCACATTCTTGGAGATGAAGGCACCCATTGACAGGCTAAGGATGATGGGTGTCGGTTCCCAAGAAAGTTGGCTATTGACTTGACTGGGTTCTTCAGTCACTTCCTGAGTCATATAGTGAGTTTGTTAAAGACTACTATGTGACAGATCTCGACATGACCCTAATAGATCTTACTTATTTGCTAATTGTTGCTGAATCAGAAATGATTTGGCGCAATGATCAAGCAATTTTGATTGGAAGGTCTGCCTCCCAAGCTGACATGGACATCCCAGAAATGATTCCTTCTCCTAAAGGGAAGGAATTGGCCATGGTCAAAAGTGATGATCATAAGAGAAAGGCCATTTCTGAGATTGCTCTATGTGCTGGCTCATATGAGCCTGTGTGTTTTTATTGCCAAGGAAAGGGACATTGGAATCGAACCTGCCCTGACTACCTGAGATCATTAGTCAGAATGTATGGTTCTGCTTCAGGTAAGTCCACTATCTAACTCTCTTAAGTTCCTATTTGAAGGTTCTTAATACATTTTGATGTATGGCTGGAACAAGCAAAGGGAAGGAAACTTAAAGGAAGAGTATGCTGAATCTGATCGCGAAGATGGATTTCAATCGCATTGTTCGAAGATCGGATTCTTGAGCTACTACTTAGGAGTTATGATAGATTGCTAGAAAATGTGTAATAGCATAGTTTTCATTTAAAGTTGCATTGTAACGAAAAAGTTTTTCCGCATTTATAAATAAATAAAATTTTGTTTTACTTTATTTTATATCTCCTTGCAATGGTATTTATGAAAAATTGATGTTTGTGTATATCTAGAAATAATGGGAATATGAATTTGATTCTTTCATTTGTGGTAGTGTCTAAATTTACCAAATAAGGAAAGATTCTCATCACCCAAGTTTCAATTGGACAGAAACTTGGAATAATGCAAGTTGTAGTAGATGATGAAAGTCTTCACCTTTGGAAAATTAAGGCTAATTCCTTGTTCACATATATATGTGAGTCAAGTGAAGGACTAAGGGATCTAGTACACATTCGTGTGCCCTGGTCAAGTCCACCACAAAAAGATCGATAAGACTATTCGTCATGATTTACTAATGTTTAGTAAATATGGTTATACTTAATAGTTTAAGTATAATTCTGAAACATTGGAAAAGTGTCGATGTATGGCAGAACGAATGGGAAGAATCAAATTTGGCAGAAAGATAAAAGTTTCTCAAATCTGAACAGATGGGAGAGTACTTTAGTATCATGTTTTATGTTCATCTTAATGATTGTGAGACCATATCACAATTCATCCTCTAGGGACATCTTAGTGTATTCTTATGGCTAAGAAGAGGAGTCATGAATTATTGAAGTGGTTAAAATCGAGAAGATGAGTCATACTTCGTTCCAAAAACAATTCTTAGAGTCATACTCCAAGATGGTAACTTGAGTGACACATCTTAAAGAAGGTTTATAAAACTTGTCAAATGTAAGAGTAAAATGTTTTCTACTCTTGTACATTTGAAATTGGTAAGTTGTGATGTTTTGGATAAAACAAAGACCAACTAAGGCCAATAGTGTGAAGTGTTTATCTTGATAAGAATCCGCACTGACTCTTGAATATTGTTTGGTTGTCAACGAATGGTTCTTGACAAAGAGAAACTTATATGTCAAGAGGACAGTGGGAGTCTTAAAGGTCTTGAAAGTTTCAAGAGCTAATCAAGGATAAAACCTATAGTTTATTGCTAGCACACGACTTGAGGTTTGTAACCTATCGTGTTGACATAATTCATGTTTCTGTGCCTATTCTGGTAAAGTTGACTATGTATGTGAGTTATGTGAGTTCTCAATTGTGTGCATAACAACTCGGAAGCAATGGTAGGCCCTTGTGCTACCAGGTGGCAAGAAATTAAGATTGAACAAGTTCAATCCATATGGTTTTGAGTTTGCCACTAACCTTGCCTTGTGATTATGCTTGTGACAAATTCTTATGGATGGGAACACATACACCATAAAATCTAAGTGTTATAAGGTTTCTTTCCGAATCATGAAAATGATGGTGAGGAAACGCTTTCACTAAGTAGATTTTAAGTAGATAGCAATTGTGATATTTGCATTCTCAAAGTCGTTAGTGGAGCGTGTGTGGTTAACCGGC